TAGAAATCAAGAAAACAATGAACCCGACTTCATCTCTGACTGCTAAAGAATTCAACCTTGCCAGCATGTCAAAGCCAAAAAGCGTTGGCTTCGCATCATCCTTCTTCGGCTGAGACATGTCCGTTTCGGCTTCTGTCGCCACTCCTGACAGGGGGGGCCGTTGTGGAATGCATATCCACAACACTAGGAGGGGCACCACCAATTCCTGGAAATGCTGTATGAAATACGTTAGGGATCGTTCGGGTGTTTCTCCTGCATCCGCAATCTGCTTGGACAAAAATCGCCATCCGGAATCTGCACCAAACTGTTCGATGCAAAAAAGTCGTTCATCCGCCATCTGCACCAATTGCCAATTATGTTTGCAATCTGTTCCCCAAACTTCTTGAAATAAATGGCGTTCATTGCAGCACTTCGACGCCTGGTGGGTCGACCCGCTCGGTGAGCTCGACGGCGTCGTTCTTCGAAACCTCACGTGGTGCACGAAACGACGCGGCATGAGCCCTGGGAGGCTGGGAGGTTCGGTTCTTGTGATGTTGCGATGTTCAGTTGCACCTTGTATTTCTTGAAGGACATTGGAAGGGAGAGGATAGTTGCTTGGGTTGTGTAACTACTGATCGCTCACAAAAAGAATAATATCAATGTCTTGGATGCCTTTGGACAGATTGTTTTGGGATGAACGGCTAGAAACGCATCAAATGCAAGGAAGAAAGACCATACACGTGAGGCCGTCCCCAACGACACGGCACAAGCGCCCCAAGCAACGACACAACACGCCCCAAGCAACACGACGACCGGAGGTCCGCCTTCTGAAGGCTCTGATTACACTGATTGCACGATTCCGACTCTTCAAACACAAGAACCATTTTACTCACTCACAATCAGACATGGACTCCAACCTAGTAGCAATGGCCTCCACCCAGGAGCCCCGTTCGTAGCGTCCGATCGCTCCTAGTAGCGATGCCAGGAGCCCCTAGTAGCTTCCTTGCTCCTAGTAGTAAGGCCAGGAGCCCCTAGTAGTTTCCTTCCTACTATAAGACATAGAACCTATTTCTCAGTTCTCTCTTTCTTTATCTCGCTCTGTCTTCTTTTCTTTCTTTAGACCCTTTTTCTTCTCATTCGTATTTTTGTCCTTGGACCTGTCTTCCTTTGTTTTTTCCCCTTTCCTTGTTCTTTTTAGAACACTCTCTTAAAGGGCCTTCAGAAGGCTGTCAACACAAGCGCTTTGAACTGTCCGACCTGAGATGCAACCGGGACACCAAGCAGGAGGAATGCTCCGAGTCATTCCCCGCCTCATCCACCAAATCGCTGGCATCGCTGGTGGAGGAGGAAGGAAGCCTTGGAGACACCCGCAACACGTCCGTTGCGGCACGACGGCCTCCAGGAAGAGCGCCCCCCCTCGGCCCTCAGCCCCCTCACCTTCCTGGGCTGAGCCAAGTTCGCCTGTGAGTGTATAGGGGTGATTCGATGATTCCTTCCAGTGTGTGAATGCACCTGAACGCTTCACAAATGACTGCAGTGTAACACCTTCTCAACAGCACCCATTCAAGTTTGCGCGCAGGTTTCTAGTCTGTGAAATAAACATAAATAAACATGTTCGCAACAGCTCATCTTGACTTAGCTCACCTTAACTCACACCCAGCACACGCTTCGTGTCTCTCCATCCACCCGACCCACTTCACAGCATCGCCCGGCAACGTCGCTGTCTCCTTCTCCGTCTCCGGCTGCAACTCTGGCGCTGGAGAAGGAGCCTCCACCGCCTCCACCGTCGCCAGAGCCTCCGCCGCCTCCGCGGCGTCCTCGGCGCCTCCACCGTCGCCTGGCTCTGGCGCCTCCACCCGGCGGTGTGTCCAGCGGTGGGCCACAGCGGCCATAGCCACCGCTGCCGCCGCGACAGTCACAGCGATGGTCTTTAGCGCATTGAAGAAAGAAGCTGCTCCTACCAGACCTGAGTGGATTTGGGGAGGCTTCCTCGAAAGATGCTCGAAAGACACATGCCACAGGGGTTTGAACAAAAGCTGGCTGTGGAAGAAGAGAAAAAAGGATCATCCAGACACCAAAGGAGTCTGGATGAACTTTGCACTTGTATGAGCTGAGCTCGTGTGGTGCAAAATTACATGAATGTTCTTGAACAATGAGAATGATGCTTCAGGGATGTGTGGGATGGTCAGCTGCTGCCAGCACTTTCCCTCAAGCAAGCTCAAACCAAACCAAGTCGGGCAGGCACTCACAACCACCAGAAAAAGCACCAACACTGGGTTCCTTGGACTGATTGCAAATGCTCTGAAACGATTGGAGTATATTGGAGTGCTTGTTGAAATGATATCCACCGTCTGTTCCGCAAAAAACACCGAACCCGAACCCGAACCTTCCTCCATGCAACCCGAGGAGCTCTGTTGAGCGTCACGTGAGCAACGCTGCTTAAGGCGCTTCAACTCATCGACACAGCTCGGATCGCCTCTCTTCAACGGCAGTCGATTCGTTTGGAAGATATGCTTTGGTCGAAACCGTTTTTTCCTGGGACACGTGGCACACTCCTGGAGCTCTGGTATGTATATATAGTTCAAACCCTTTGTCCATGTCTTTGGCAATCAAAACGCATGAACTCGTGGATCAGATCCTTTGAGGGAGGTGAAAAAGAACCAGAGATCTTCGACATGTCACAGCTCATCTGGTGCCCATAATGCTAGCTTTCAAGGTGGAAGAACCAAGACTCGCCTGTCCAAATGAAACATGCCGCACCTGTGAAAGAAACGATTTCTCATACTCCGCAACCACTCGCACCACTTGGTTCTGACTCACAATTACTTTCCTGTGTATCCACGGAGTGAAAACAAAAGAGAAAAGAGATCCGTGCTTGGCCCGGTTTGGTGTTTTCTTCAATTCTTTTATATTCTCCGCTGTCAACCTCTTTGCCTCTTTACGGATAGTTCCAAGTGAACTTGCAGCAGGACGTGTCTTAATGCCAGTCAAAAAGGCACCTGGCTAATGACCAATGAAGGACCCAAGATGTTGAAAAGGAAACTGCTGAAGACTGAGCCACTCTGAACAGGACACCGTTCGTTCAGGACATCCAACTCTTCAATGCAATTTTCGCCTTAGGCGTGAGCCGATCTGCTCCGATCTGAGCAGAAACGACTTGGGAGCAGAAACGAGTGAAGCACACAGTGATGCTCAGTCGATGCAGCCGCACGTCTGGCGGTCGAAAAAAATTCAGAACCGGTTGATGCGCCAAAAAAACACATCGAAGGATGAGAAAAGAGGACTGCAGGGGAGCATCGGGGAGGAAGTTTCCATGCAAGCAAAGAAACAATCTCTCTCTCTCTCTACGGTCTCTACGGCCTCAGGAGACAACACGCAAACACATTTCAGAAGACTTGTGACTTGTGAAGCTGATGGGAAAGAATTCCGTTTTCCAAGTCACTTTGCTTGATCCACCGTTCATTCTCAGCCTTGAGCATCTCAATCTCACTCCTTCGAGGCCGAGGTGGATGACACGATGCCAGCAGTTTTTTATTGCGCTTTAGTTTCATTATATTACTAAATATATATTTATTAATGCATATATTATATAATATATAATATATGCATTAATAAATATAATATATATATATATATGTATAGCCTCTCAATCCTACTGCCAAGTCGCTTTCATAATGAGTGTGTTTCTCCCATCTGTATGTGCGTTCAAAGGGTGATGTGCTGTGTTCTGATTACCCCAAACAGCGACAGGACAACCAACAGCATGAACATTAGCACAACACGCAACAGCACTGCTGCGGTGAACTGCTTCTCCTGTCCAGCTCCTCATGCCACCATATCCGTGCCCAAACGCCGAGCCAAAAACACAAGAAGCACGCCAGGCTGGCGACCATGGTTCGCACGGACGGTCGCGACATGGCGTTCGGAGCGAACAATGGCGGAGATCGCGGGCGGAGGTTGGTCGTCGCTGCAGAAAGCTGCAGAAAGCATCGGATGATGTTTGGGATTGCTTGGAAATGTTGAAGTGGGCTCGGGAAAACTCTACCGGACCAAAGGTGCATATGTTCCATCCCAAGATCTCAGACGCGCTGCTTTCCGGGCCTTGGCTGGCTTCACCAATGGTGCAGTCCTTAAGGATCCAATAGCACAACAAGACTTCATCGCAACGCATCGTATGTGATGTGTGTGTGTGCCTGGAAAGTTGTTGGCAAAGGAACAAATGCATCTGCTTCTGCTTGTGGGGCATCAAAACAGGGAAACAACTTTGGGGGGGAAACAACTTTGGGGTTGAAACCGGCGCAATTTGTTTCTGGCTAGAAATATTCTGAACCCGACCTGCGATTGTACACCTCAAGTTCGTTTCAACCACCAGCTGCCTCTTGCAAGACCACGCAGGTGGCAAGAACATGCACCTGGCAAGAAGAGATGGCAGCTTCACTCTACAAGTGGGTGAGTGGCATAGATCTGCTAGGTGACTCAGCGGCTGCTTTATTCTGGTTTGCTAGACCATACATCAAACTCCAAGCAAACTGAAGCATTTGAATAGTTATACGGTTGCCGAAAAGGCTGCACTAACTTATGCCTTTGAGAGCTATGTTCCAAAAACGAGAGGTTCCTGATAAGACTTTCCCTTCTCATTTGCGCGGAGTCCCACCTTCAGAGATGCCAAGAGGCAGACTGCATCAACCTTGGGATAGCGGAAACATGTTTCCTAGAGCGCCGGAAGTTTGCACAGCGAGCAAGCTCTGCACCTGTTTTTTGTTGCCTTGTACGGGTAGTGTTGAACTTTGGGGACTGCTCTAAAAAAGAATAGATCTGCGGCTGATCACAAGGCATTTCTTACGTATCCCATTCAGGTCCACCAAACACATCTGCGCGCACGCTCGCAGGTGAGAAACGAGAGTGCAATTCCCTTGCTGAGCTAGTCTCTGAGGCTACCTGCACCCAGTAGTGCTGCTCCACCTGCGACCGAGCTCAACTTGCCATCACCCCCACCCACCCTGCTTGACGACATTGCGGTCTCGCGCCAAACAACCCGCAACACCAAGCGCAGTGCTCAGCACCACATTTTCCAGTGGAAACTCCTTTGGAGTTCGCCCTTGGAGTTCTATGAAAGCCGACAAACGCCGATGCCAATTCCACTCAGTTGGTCCATGAAATGTCTCCATGGCCCCACTCCTGGTAGCCTTTGGGTGGCTGCAGCCTCCAAGTCGATTTGGCCAAATGCATTCGGAAAAACCCGGTGATGGAGACAGCCGGGTACCTTGGCTGGCGGTTGGCTCTCCACGGAATTGGATCTTCCCATCTTCCGCTTTGAAAACTTTGTGGCCTGCTTCATTTACACTAAAAAAGGGGCTGATGTAAGTTCTATTTGAGTGTGTGTTGGGCCACGAGAGCCTAGCCTAGCCCCCTATACTCTCCGCCTAGGGGGGGTAGTCTAGGCGAAGGTAACCCCTATCATGGGACTTCTGTGTGTGTGAAAATGAGAAAACTTGCATATGCCCGACCAGTTGCAGTGCCCCGTGTGCCTGGGAAGGCATGGTCACTTTTCCCCCCTTCTTTTGTGCAGAGCTGCATCTTCCCTTCATCCAGGTCGATGGCAAAGCCTAGCACATCCTGAGCCTTCCACGGACTGTCGAGCTGCAAGGGCTTCTTGCCGTTGTTCCACCAAAGGCACCTTTCGCCATCAAAGGCCCAGCTATGTGGATCATCTCCGACTCCCTCCCCGCTATATTCTCCAGCCTGGAAGGTTGCGTTGAGCCACCCGATCTGAGGAGAATCAAACTCACTCAACAGTTGAACTTCGTAATAGAACTTCCCGCTGCTCTGCGCCAGCTCCGGCAAACCACACGTCAACCAAACCTCACGATCGGGCGGTGCCTCCTGTGGCCTCAAAGCGGTCAGTCCAATTAATCGAGGCCTGGAAACCGTCGAGCCCGGAGGAATCCATCGCAAGGAGGATCCGCCACGGCGGACGCTGAGCAGATGGAAGGTGATGCCTGAGGCAAGTTGAGAAGTGGGAATCTGGTGCCCCCAACCAACGCCCTGCAGTCCGCCTTCATCTCTTGTGGAAAAGTTGTACTCCAAGGAGTGCTTCCAATCCCCAGCTTGCACACGGCATTTCACCCAGACGGGCTCGTTGACCCACAGTGACAGAGATGCCTTGTCTGGAGCAGCCTTGGGGCGCAATCCAAGCCAAGCTTCAATGCCGGACACACCAAGCGGAAACTTCTCGCTAAACTCCCTCTGATCTTCAGTAAAGCTGCTGAAGTCATAGCCCGACAAGTCCCAGGAAAAGGAGCTGATGCACTTGATGGGTTCCTCCTCTGCCTTCAACTCCTGAATTTTGTGGCATTTGTGATCAAGCTCATTATACTTGTTCCCAAGATCCTTGCACTTGCTGACGATGCTCCCTAGAAGTTCACACAACTTGAAGGATGCACGGTCATTGGCACGGTCCAGGTAATGCGCGTACGCAACGGCTTCATAGGATTCCTCCTGCTTCCCTTCAGCAGAAAAGGCTTCCGCGGCAGAAACAGCTATCCTCGCTCCATCTGCGCGACGTTTGGCCCTTTTGAGCATTTCAGCGAGGAGCATGAGCTGATCAGCAGTCACATTCTTGAGGCTCTCTGGCCGAAGCGACAGTCTTTGTGTCACATCAACCGGAATGTCCTCTTTCCACCCCAAATACACTTTGAGAAGCAAGCCTTCCAAATGTTTGTTGTCGTCAATCGTCAATGCTTTGGCGTAGCATATGCTGATTGAGCTGTTTCACCAGAGCGCGCCGCACATCTTCATCAGAGTCGTCCAGCTCATATGCTTTCGCTAAGAAGTCCACCTTCTCTTCATGTTTCTCATCCAGGCGTGAGGCAAGTTCAGCAAAGATCGAAGAAGAACTCTTGGGCGGCCAATGTTCCAGTGTGGAAATGCCAAGATCGGAGCTAAAAAAGTCCACTGCGAAAGACGTAGCACTGTCACGGCTTTTCAGGTAATCGCAGGCCTGCCGCAGCAGTTTTGTGTCAAGCACTTCAAGCTGAGCTGTTAATCTGCTACGGAATGTTGCCAGTACCAAAGATGTTGCTTTCGCCCAAGACGAGTCTTCACCTTCTTTGAGGTTTTGGCAAAGCCAATCCCAAAGGTCCCAGAGATAAGCCAAGGCCTCTTGAGATTGTTCCTCCTTCCCATTGGCAGTAAAGAGTTCTGCAGCAGCAACGGCTGCCCGAGCCCCATCTGCTCGTCGATCGGCTTTCTTGAGCATTTCCGTGAGAAGCATCAGCTCATCTGCAGACAGCGCCTTCAAATCACTACCCTGAAGGGAGAGTTTCCGTATCACTTCTGCAGGAATCTCCTCTTTCTTCTCTAAAAATACTTTGAGTAGGAGCCCTTCTAAGTGTTTGCCCTCATCAGACAAGCCTTGCTGCGAGATTTGTTGGCTAAGCTGTTTCGCAAGAGCACAGCGCACGTCTTCATCAGAGTCGTCCAGCTCATATGCTTTCGCTAAGAAGTCCACCTTCTCTTCATGTTTCTCATCCAGGCGTGAGGCAAGTTCAGCAAAGATCGAAGAAGAACTCTTGGGCGGCCAATGTTCCAGTGTGGAAATGCCAAGATCGGAGCTAAAAAAGTCCACTGCGAAAGACGTAGCACTGTCACGGCTTTTCAGGTAATCGCAGGCCTGCCGCAGCAGTTTTGTGTCAAGCACTTCAAGCTGAGCTGTTAATCTGCTATGGAATGTTGCCAGTACCAAAGATGTTGCTTTTGCCCAAGATTCTCCCTCATGTTCACGGAGGAAATCCCAAAGGTAATTCAAGCAGTCTCCTTGCTCATCGGCAACTGTGGAGCTTGGGATTCTGCGGGCAAGCTCCTTGCTGACCAAGATTTTGCGGGGTTCAGGTATTCTCAAAGATCTCATCAAATCCAAATTTACTTGAGAAAGTAACCATAGAACTTCCTGCTCGTCCAGGTCTAGTAACTCCTCAAGCTTCGAATTGTCTGCGACTTCTACCAGCATCGGCACGAGCTCTTCAACGATTGCGCGACGCTCTCCTGGCTGCATCCGCTTTACCCGAAGGAGCAGCAAGGAAGACAGCTTCCTTTTGGCAGATGCATCGGGTAAGGCCGCACGGACAAACTGCTCACCTCTCGAAAGCAACTTCAGCGCGTCGTCAATCGGTACTTGAGAGGCCACGGACAAAATCTCCTGGACCGTCTTCTCTTTGTGCGCGATGACAGCGGACTTCACGTGCTGACTGGGGTTAAGCACCTGAGATTTCAGTCGACAAACTTCCAAACAGGAGCACCTGTAGATACAAATCAAAAGCCCGAACCCTGCAACACAAAAAGAAACAAAATGTCTTTGTCAAACATGTCCATGGCTCATGAGTCGACAATGGCTCTCGAGTGGTTGGACTCCGGTCATCCGAGTTGAGCCACTCTGCAATGCAACTCCTTTCATAGGTGATTCCATCTGCCGCCACGACCGGGTCTTCCATGAGTTCGTGAGAGATGGGGCAACAAAGATCTGGAGGATCCTTCATGAGGCGTTTTACCTTGGCAACCAACACTGAAAAAGGAGTACAGTGCAATACAGCAGCTTAGACTCAAATATCTGCGCCTTTCACCAGAAGCTTTGTTCATTTGACGTGTTTGACATGGATGGCGAGCGAGTTGCCAATGAGTTCCAGCCACTTTCGCTGCCACCGCTTCGGCTGCTGCTAGCGCTATCCTCTCAGACATGGACAGATTTTAGCAAGCTCCCCAACAGGTTTTACGATGAGAACGTTCTACCAACAGGATGAGGCTGGCAAGGCCAACTATCTCCGTCTTCTGTGTGAACAATGCTACAGTATTGAGTCGCAGCAATTCGATCCAAGCGTCGCGCTTCACGGATGATTTCATCATCTCGAGAGTCTTCACGATCTCTGCCAAGTCCACGTTCCACACGTCTGCGATCATCTCAGCAGACATGCCCTTCTGACCTCAGAGCTTCAGGCAGAGGCAACCGTCGAGCAGATTGTTCTATGACACTGAAGCGTGCCATGTGTGGAAAGATGTTTACAGTCGAAGTACTGATGGACTCGCCAGCTCACCGGAATAGCAGGACCGTCTCCTACTTGCACACAAAGGTGTGATATCATCTTCACTCCGCCCACCAGTAAATTTTCTTGCCAACAATGGAGGACAAATGCTTCCTATCATCTTCTAGCTATAGCACTTATGCCCAGCAAGAAAAGATCTGGAGCTTATCTTGCTCAGTACTTCACAAGATGTCGCATGCAATCTTTGATGCTTTTTTGTGCCCTGCCGCGCTGAAGTGTTGACAAACGCGACAAAGAACAAACGGAAACTGCAGTCGTGGCCCCACAGCTGAAGAACCGAGTTTCACAACATGTGGAGACAACTCCACCATAGAGGCTAGAGGCTTGGCTGACCCCTCAAGCCATTAAGACCTCTGGGCTATGACCACACCCTTCCAACACAGGTGGAAGGAATATCACACTTCAAAGCCAGCTACCATGGTCTGACGACAGGGAACTGGTCAAATCAGTACTGATGTTAACAAGAAAAAGCAACTCATTCGAACAAAACTCCCAAGAGGAAACAAAGTCCTTCCAGGCGAAAAAGAAAAAAACGCCTCGCGAGCAGGAACCGGCCGAGCTGCTCATCCGCAGGATCTTCTCAGAATCCACTCGGCTGATCCCCTGCCGCCAAGGGGGTCTGTTCAGAAAAAGACCACCTTCAACTCTTAAATCATACAGTATGGGGCTGCAACAAAAGGATCTTCTTTGTTCAGCCAACCAAAGGGACACCAACGGTCATCTATAGGATCCCTGGTAAGCGACAAACAAAGCAGTATGTGATTCACATCACCGAATGGTTGGTGACTCAGTCTGTGGAGCGCCGTGTTCGCACCACCTATTCCAGCAGAATATGTCTTGCCAAAGCTTACAAACACCATCCACATGTCCCGCATCAGCCAAAACCAGGGATCTGATCTGACTGCTACCTGGTCGCCACTTCTTGGCGTTCCAAGCAAGAATGTTTCATTCGGCCCAACTGTTTCAACCAGGCAGCAACCATTCCAAGCGAGATATCCTGATATTTTCGATGCTCACATGATGCCTTCGCTGAAGATGGCAGTGGCGGATCGCTGGCAGGCTCCTGGCATCTCAAAGTGTACCAGGACAAACATGGGCAAACATCGGATCAAACCTTTGATGAGAAAGGATAAGTTTCCTTGAATCTTATACCTCAACCTACAACCCAAGTCACACGTCAAGAGAAAAAAACAAACACAACACATTTACTTGAGATTGAAAATATGAACTGGGAATCCTGGGGTGTATGTTAAAGTTGTAGCGTCAGGCTGTTGATCAAAGAAAGAGATGATGCCAAGCTTGACCCACCCTGTTGAATCCCGAGCATGCATCGCCAGCGATTCAGAACGCATGGCTTTGATGTGTAAGAGAATTATTTACGCCGTCCACTTGCACGGTGGCTACATCTTGGAGACCCCCCCTCCAAAAGGTCTGAGAACGGCTCACCAGTAAATGGGTGGGAAAAGGACATTTGCTGTATATTTTGGCGAGCCATCTTCAACTACACCTCCATGGACGACTGCAAGGAAGAGTGCCTATCATCATCTGGCAATAGAATTCCCACTTGCTGGAACACCAACAGGCCAGGGGAGAGGGCAGAACATGTGTAAGTCCAAGTATAAAGGTCTGTTTGGAAATACACAGACACAAAAAAAACTGACGCATAGATCGCCCCCCGTTCCGACGCTCTCCCAGTGGTCCTCTAGCATGCCAGGCAGCATCAGGGCACCAAGCTCCTCGTCAAAGCCGCGTAGGTCTACCGGTTGCGCCGAACACGTCGTGGAAAATCCACCAAATGGACCAGACATGGGTGAAACCGAGAGCTGGAACTCCGCTATGGAAGTCAGATGAAGTCAAGACCCGTACGATTGTCCATCTATGTTTCCGCAGGAATTGAAGTCACAGAACCTTTTCAGAGCACCCCATCTGCCAGATCTGCAGCTTTCCTCGTCCAGCGGCGCATGCGTTGGAACCTGCGAGAGGTTTCGCAACACTTCAGACTTGAAAACTCCGGTCCCAATCTGTGAAAACATGTCAAGCCAATGCCACCAATGTTCCCACCCACCCCAGACCTTCTCCATCTTCGAAGATCAGAGCATTTCGGAAGGTTAAACGGACGTCCACCATGGTGGAAGGAACTCTAAACGGCTGCAAAGCGAGACCACGAAGTTGCAACGCAGCAGTCAACACTGCTGGCTTGATTGGTTTTGAGGAAGACTCTCTTGAGTTTGACACGTGATCGCTGCCAAGAACGTTGCTAGCTTTATTCTTGCAGGAGTAACAGCAGGCAGTTTAGCACCAAGGAAGAAAATCAAAGTTAGAGATGGATATGATCCAAGGTAAACAAAAACTCAACAAAAGCAAATAGACAACTAAATTCCAATGAGTTCCTCTTATCTCACTTCCCCAACTCCACCTACAAGCGCTGTTTCAAAAGCCGTGGCCTCGGATTCCAAGCTTTGGCCTGCAAACAGGACCAATCGATCGAAGCCAAACAAACGAGGTCTTCAAGCCAGATTGGTTCATCAAGCCACCAAGACCTCCAGCGGAGAAAAACAGGTTCCTTTTTCTTTCAATTCACAAGCAACTGACAAAGGACAATCCTGCCATGGGTTTTCAACCTTTCACTGCATCCGCCTTCTGGCAACAGCATTACCTTCCAATAGTCATTTTTCGAGATGCAGATTTGGGGTGGTCAACTGTTTGAGGTCTACAGTGGTGTCATTTTTGCTACACTTTGCATGGTGGCAACAATTTCATCGTTGTGTGCTACACGGAGGATAAAACCGGGAACGTTCGCTTAAAATAGTGAACTGTCCAAGATGGTTCCACAACGCCATAGGCTCATATGCTGGCCAAGCATTTTTCCCGGAGCTGTTCAGGTTAAGGTGACAGGTGACACGCAGAACATGACACGGTTCCCAACCAATTCCCAACCGACATCAAGACTTGTCCATGCACTAAAAAATCCGTCAATGGAAATGACATATATGGCAAGGAAACTGTATGTTAGTTGCAATCACTGACGGGAACCAATTTTGCGCTGCTTTCCGCCGTCACATGGCTCTGGCCTCAGACGCTGAAGGAGCGGAAAGTCCAACGTGCCACGTTCGAGTGCTTTTGACATGACATCGACGTGCACAAATCGTTGAAAGACCCCATGGCCACTTCATGCTGTATCCATTGATGACCCGAATCTTGAACGCAACATACGTAAAAGCATGCAAGACCTGTACTATCGCTTTGCACTGCCTCCCGAAAATCACGACGCAAAGCCGTTTGCCATGCTTGGCGCGGATCGCTGAGGAGATGGCAAGATCCAAATCTGGCTCAGGTGCCACGCTTGAGTCCTGCAAGGTCCCGTTGAGTCACTTTTGCTCCGACAAAAGGGTGGGTTGATCGACGTTCTTGGGGTTTTGAAGTCGCAGTTCTCGACTCAAGTGATAGCTATCGTTTCCCTGCCCGACAGTCAGTTCATCTTAGCGACATGGCTTCTTCAGAGTGCTTTGAACTCATGCGCCGTGGTGAGAAGCAGGCTCTGAAAGGGAATCTCTTTCCTGAAGTGGCCTTGCTTTGTCACACATAAAGGTGATGAAGATGAAAATGACGTTGAGAGGCAACCAGTTTGCACGAAATCCGTAGACCTGAATGCTGACATCCTCATGTGCATGGCTGACCACTTTGAGGGAAAGTTTGCAGAGGTTCACTATCTTCAATCGCAGGCCCGCTAAAAGTTTCAACTTCAATGGAATGTCATGACTCTGAAACCATGAGCTTCGACGTCTTGCGGAAAGAGACGCATCTTCTTACGAAGCAAAGCAGGTTCGAGAGCTCTTCAAGTTGGGTCACTTAACCAACGTGAGAAACGTCAACAGCGTCCGAGGGACCGGGGACCGGTTGGACCGTTCTGCTGTTGCACCTGCCACCTGCCTTCCCTCAACTGTTCTTCCGGCACCGTGGAGTGAAGACCCTTTTGGACGAGCTCAATGGTATTTGCAGCAAGTGGGCCGTGGACTCCTCTCGTTGGGGATCAAAGAGCGGTGGAGGAGTGGCCTGCAGAGAACGATGATGGGGCATATGAAGCGGATGATACCAGTGAAGCACCTCACCACTCCACAGCCAGAACAAAGACGGATTCGGATACCTCACCTCCTGTTTCCATCGG